TGGTTTAGGCGCGGAAACTATGTTATTCATCCAAGAAAGAATGGAAAAACATTATTAGGTTTTAAAAATAAGCCTCCCAACTTTGCTCCCATCATTACTTAGTTGTATTGAAAATGACTTCTCATAGGCAAGAAAAAGCAACAGATTAAAGTAACCACTGGGTAAACTGGGATAACCTGTGGATTTTTTTTTTTTTTAATATTTATTTCAAATAAATTAAATTAAAAGGATTCTAAAAAACATCTTTCAGTAAATCAAGGTAAAAGATAGACATTAAAGAAATTTCAACCTAAGGTAATACAATATGACAAAGTTACAATTTAGTTAATGTTACCCTTCAATAAAAAATATCAAGATTGCCTTTCAATAAAAAATTTAGTTCAGGCATTGGATCTCAAAGAAAGCTAACAGTGTTTTGACTATGTTAATTCCTACCTTCAACATCCAAATCACCACACCCAACAGCACGTAGGTCTCTAGCAAGTTCCTGTGTCTTCTCATATGCCACTGCTAGCATTCTAAGATACTGAAGCCTCGGGAAAATACAAATGAAGTCAAAATCTGAATTTTATCTTCAAGTGCTCAATGGATCAAAGGAAGAATAAAACATCACCAGTAATTCAACTCACTAATAGAAGTCCACCTTCCTCCATAGGAGGTGGGTTAACAAGAGATGGTTTTATCAAAAGTTTGTCAAGAAGTGCTGAAACTCGCTGCTCCAAGACTCGCTGCACACCACCACAGAAAACTGGTTATAAATGTGTAATTACCAACCAATACAATCCTGGTATCTTTACATTCAAATGCATTGCCATGAAAGCCCTAAAGCATAAAAGAAGGGAATTCTAGCTAAAATACCTGAACCAAAATCGACATAACATCATTTGGAGAAGGGAACACAGCTGTTATCGTGGCAGCTTCTTTACGGACAGTATCTGAAAACCAATAATAGCAGATTTATCAAATTCAATGAAGAGACGACAACTTTCATAAAGATCAATGGCAATCCTCCCAACCAGTTATTTCTTTGTACAATGAAGCAAGCCCACGCGCAACATTGCTACTCCCTCCCCTCTCTCTCTCTCTCTCTCACACACACAGAGACAGATAAGATAACCAAATTATTTTATTTTATCTTTTTAAGAAAAAAATTTAAAAAAACATTTATTTTTTAAAAATAAATCTAATAAAATCATATATAATATAATTTATTTTATGCCTAAAATTTTTATTATTTTTTATTCTTTATTTATTTAAACAGAAAAATATTTTATGCCATGTTATCAGAAAAATACATAATATTTTTTTGACATGTCTATGTTTAGCCATATCCATGTACCCATGTCTAATTTTCAAGTACTTTTTAGATGTACCCGCGTATCCCTCATTTAGAGATTTGCCGAGTCCAACCTCTACACCCGACACTCCTACCCGAGTCCATGTAACGTAGGGATAAACTGTTATCTATAACGACAATTGAAACCTAGAAAGACATTAGATTAGAATTATGAACTCAACTCCAAGGCAATAGTTGTAGAGGTCCAAGGAAGAAAGAGACAGGTTTAGGAGGGTGTTAGTGTAAAATTTAGTGTCATTAACCCGGCCCAAACAGGGAGGTTAAGTTAGTGACCAGCCCCCTTGATATGCCCGGTTGTTCATCTGAATAGACAAAACATGAACCTAGCAAAACATGTTCAACTAGGACTTGAACCCTACACCTTCCTCTTTGAAGGTGGACGGAGATACTGCTCACGCTAACAGTTGGAGCTGAATTTTATCACCTTTTTTAGAATAACATAAATCATTAGCCTGGTGTATTGAATTCAATCTTAGGCAAGATTTGTAAATGTTTGCACTGAAAACATCTTAGGAAGAAACATAATTCACCTGAGATGAAAACAAAGTACATCTCGAAATTGCTTCTTCATTCCAACGCACAAACTCTGTCACCACAGTGACGGATATCTGCTGGTGAGAAGATGCCATTGAAGCTCCCTTCGACCGTCCAATTGTACCAGATGACTCAGATGATTGCTGGCTTTCTGCACGCAATTCCTCCATCTGCAAAGCATAATAATGTTAAAGGATGTTGTAATAGAATCCACTAAAAGAAATTGGAATCATAACTTCACCAGCAGAAACAAAGAAAAGAAGGGGGAATGGTTGAGAGAGAATGGAATAAACCACCTTCGCCTTGTAAAGTTGCCTTAGAGAAGCCTGATCATGCTCAACATATTCCTCTTTGTGAGCAGTAAATAGAGACTCAGTCAAACCTGTATCAAAAAAAAAAAAAAAAAAAAACATCTTTCAGTAAATCAAGGTAAAAGATAGACATTAAAGAAATTTCAACCTAAGGTAATACAATATGACAAAGTTACAATTTAGTTAATGTTACCCTTCAATAAAAAATATCAAGATTGCCTTTCAATAAAAAATTTAGTTCAGGCATTGGATCTCAAAGAAAGCTAACAGTGTTTTGACTATGTTAATTCCTACCTTCAACATCCAAATCACCACACCCAACAGCACGTAGGTCTCTAGCAAGTTCCTGTGTCTTCTCATATGCCACTGCTAGCATTCTAAGATACTGAAGCCTCGGGAAAATACAAATGAAGTCAAAATCTGAATTTTATCTTCAAGTGCTCAATGGATCAAAGGAAGAATAAAACATCACCAGTAATTCAACTCACTAATAGAAGTCCACCTTCCTCCATAGGAGGTGGGTTAACAAGAGATGGTTTTATCAAAAGTTTGTCAAGAAGTGCTGAAACTCGCTGCTCCAAGACTCGCTGCACACCACCACAGAAAACTGGTTATAAATGTGTAATTACCAACCAATACAATCCTGGTATCTTTACATTCAAATGCATTGCCATGAAAGCCCTAAAGCATAAAAGAAGGGAATTCTAGCTAAAATACCTGAACCAAAATCGACATAACATCATTTGGAGAAGGGAACACAGCTGTTATCGTGGCAGCTTCTTTACGGACAGTATCTGAAAACCAATAATAGCAGATTTATCAAATTCAATGAAGAGACGACAACTTTCATAAAGATCAATGGCAATCCTCCCAACCAGTTATTTCTTTGTACAATGAAGCAAGCCCACGCGCAACATTGCTAGGACTGGGTTGGGAACCCTGGTCACCAAGAACCAATCTAGTGTCTGCATTCATGACCTCTATGTCAATAAACATTGGACGTGTTGCCACGTAATGTTGCATGGCGCTGGTGCCCCTGTTGAACTGCATTGCCATTTGTCAAACCATATGGTAAGAACAGGAAAGGAATTTTGTTTCCTTCTGCAAATTACTAAGATTCATATAAAAATTTACATGTATCTAATTAGCATGACAATACATTGAGACTGAAATCCTACTGTAAGAAAATTGCAGAGAAGTAACACAAGAAGATCAACAGATTTTCCCTCAATCAAAAAAAGGAAGGAAGGAAAAAAAAAAAAAAAAAAAAAAAAGGCAAAAAGAAAGAGAAAGGAGATAACAGGCACTTTGGTTGGTCCTCTAGATTCCACTAAAGTCTTAAAGTTGATGACAGGCCCTTTTTTTGTGATGCTGCATAGCCTTTAGTACTTTCTTGATAAGGAAAAACAAAGCACACATAACTGACCTGAGATAAAATTTTAGCACACTCTGCCATGGTAGGCAATTCTCTTCTTTGTGATGCCACATCAAATCGAGCCAACAATCGGTTCTCCAATTCTAAACAAGTGACAGAAAAAAGAAACACTCAATTAATATAACTTATCAAAAAACAAACATCTGTTCAATTTTTTTAGAACTATGATTAAAGATACAAGAGATTTAATCAGGCATAGCCTAGATTTTTGGAATGTTTTGAGTTTTGAGAAAATTAGTAGGCAGATAAGGCTAAACCACGGATTCACAGATTTTCTTGGTTCCTAAACCTTAAAGCCTAATGATATCCTAAAATTTCTGCAACAATACAGAGCTCACAGACTCTGAAACTCAATTCATGCATCTGAAGCAAATCTGCTTCACAAAACCACACTCCAAGCTCAAGCAAACATTTATATCTAAGATCACATGTAAATCTAAGATTTCTGTAACGATGTACTTGTTAAATCATCTTTTACTTTATGCAATCGATTATTGGAAGGAAAAGAGTAATGCAATATTTTCAACTGTGTTTGGATCATGAATTTGGATAGGGATTTGGAAAGGGAAAGGAAAAGGGAAAAAATGGATGAAATGTGAATGAAATATGGCTACATTTCATGCACATTTCCCTATCCAAATCCTTATCCAAATCCATGATCTAAACACAACCTTTAGGGATTATCATGCAGATGAAAAGCAAATAAGAGAAAACAAGGTAATTCATCCATTAATTAATTAATTTTTAAATCCTAAGTACAAAATAACATAAAATAAAATAAAATAAAATAAAATAAAATAAAATCCCGGCAATCAAAAAGAAGGAATTCACCAACCCAGTGGTTCAACTAAATGAAAAGCTGAAAAATTTGTCCCATTTTTTTATTAGAACCCTCCATTCCACAAAACAATATATGGTTTCTGTCCTTCCAGATGCACCAAGGGGGGCACAAGAGGGGCTGCTTTCTACACAATAGTTCTACTTTTCCTGACCTTTCCTCCCCATGAACCCCCAACCCCCCTTTTTATTTTCTTTCTAGGTGAAAACCCATCTCATTCTAAGCAACATCAATTGGACAATAGCAAACACCACGACTTCCCCCTCAACTCTAGAATGAATATAAAGATGACATTTGCATACAAAGTATCTATACTATTATTAAGTGAAGACCTAAATTGGTTTAGTGAAGCCTTCTTCTCCTCATACCATGTGACAACTTTACAGATACTAAAATAAAAAAATTATTATATACAACGTAAGCAAGTTTTGAACCCAAGACCTTGGGTTTATTAAGAACATACTTATCACTTAAGCAACATACATTTTATGATATTAAATTCTTTATTATTTATTTTTATTATTAGTTATCTGAATTGCACACGCATCGCGTGTGCCACCCGCTAGTCAACTTGGAACCACCTGCCCATCTGGTGTTAAGATCTGCACAGCATCAGCTACACACACACAAATCACTTGAAAGGAACTCTTGAGCCTCATTAGCTATTGCAAGGAAGGATTCCTCAAATACAATCTCAAATTACTTATTTTGGGCATCTTATCCCTGATACAATTACTACATTTTAAACCGTAAATGATTGATAGTAATTATTATGGATGTTCTTTCAATTTCTCTTAATCTCATTCGATGTAATTATTTATTTATTTTAATGATTCTTTTCTGCCTGGAAAAATTACAGCTTTTTATAACAGGACAGTCTATGATTTAACTATTCTTCATTTGGTAATTCTACATTTTCATGCATCTTCACACACACAATTAAAAAAAAAAATTAAAAAGGTGACATACCATTGCAGTATTCCTGAAGATTAGCAACTGCAACCTCCAGTCCTCTGCTTGCAGTTGCATTTCCTGCAATTGATGGTGCAGTTATGCCTTGTCTTCCAATATCTTCTTCAGCAAATGACCCTAAAATCGACAGCAGCAATTAGGTTATAATTGTCACAAAGCTCTGCAGACCAATGTCTGAATGTTGCCATACAAACACATTCTCATCTCAATAAATTTAGCAGTACTAACAAAACAGAAAAAATTCCTAATAACAAACTCAAATACAACAAGATCCTTTCTTCTTCTTTTTTCCCCTTCTTTGAGTGTTTGTCAAGAAACATAGACAAACAAGCTGACACAAGGAGGAAAGATGAGAAAACAATTAAAAAGAGGGAACTCAACCCACACTGGAGAAATAAAGATTACAGGATAAGAGAAGACCCAAAGCAAAGATCATTCAGGGGATAGATTACCCTCCCCATAAATTCATTCAAGTTTATATCACCCTGCCTATAAATCCATTCAGGATTTTTTGCCCGATTCCGCCTTTGTCATGCTTAATGTTTCATCTTTTACACAACTAGTTCCAAGCCAGTGTAAAGGAAGAGGATTGCAGTAAGTTGACAGCCAACATAAAACTAAGAGTCACACCTCTGTGAACATAAATTTAAATCCAAAGAATTCTTTTGTTCAGGTGTTCTCTTCTTGTTACTAAATGAAAGATGATTAGCTAGTGCATTCCCTCTCTGATGACGTGCCACATCAGCACCCGAGTGTGGCAAGAGTAGGCAAGGGTTCCCGCACAATAATGGATGAGTGCGGGTAAAGAAGCTAGTCCAATAGAATAAGATATGCTTAGGAACTTCAAACATATGAACATTAACCAGTAAAATGATGGAACTAGTAAATACTATAAAGATAATTAATATTATTTGTTTACAAAAAACCAATTGGATAGGGAAAAATCTAGGAAAATAGAAATAACATAACATTAAACTCTGGTATATTGGAAAAGAGAAACATAGAAATAGACCAGGGATAATTGTAGATAAATTTAAAAGAAGAAGGGATAGAGGTTAAAAGAAAAAAATATAGAATAATATTTATGAACTTAATCTTAAGAGAAAAAAAAAAACAGTAAATATAATTAGTGCTTACATGTTCCAAATCAAATTAGATGAATCTATAAAATGATAATTTTAGGAGGATTTGGATTATAAGTCCAACGGATACCAAAACCAAGAGGGAAAAGAGTTTTTATAGGCAATGAGATGTAGATATAAGAAACTATGGGTGGATTTTATATCTGAATAGAGAAATGATGATGGTAGTCTTATCCTAGAGTTTGCAATGACATGTGACTTCTTCTGAAGAAATTTGGTAGTGGATTCAAGAGGTCCAGAAAGTAATCAAAATAAGAAGAAACAGTCACAAAGCTTTCTATATATGTCGGATTAATGAAATTTTGAAAGAGATAAGTAACTAAAACTGAAATAAATAGAGGAATGTTTAGGAGATCTTGGATTGAGGTGATATGACTATCCTAAACTTATATGAGGATATGACAATGAATAGAACCAACTAGACAAAATGGATCCAAGTAGCCAACCCCAAGATATAAGTAATTGGGACAAAGGCTTGTAGAGTTGAGTGGAGCTTTTTTTTTTTTGGGTCGAAGGGAAAAGATCTATATCTACCCCAAGCAACTTAAAGGATATTTTTAACTTAGTGATTTTTTTTTTCTTCTAGCTGAAAATAGGCTGAATTAGTTTTTCCTCATCTCGACAATATTTGTCCCTTATTTTTTTGCCTTCTGGAGTTATTAGTTTAAGAAAGTGCATTCCATCAAAAAGGAAGAAGGTGAAGGAAAAGAAAATATAAGGAGTAGGAATGTGTTGCAAGCTAATGGTAGAGATACTCCTATGGTTAGTAGGGGTAATAGTTCTCCACGGAAATCCATCTCTCATATTTTTCCACTATTGTCTATATTTCTTTTTCTAAAAGTGGGGAATGGAGAAAATGTTCGATTTTGGGATGATGTTTGGGTGGGGAACGTTTCCTTTGAAGTTAAGTTTCCACATCTGTATTAGGTGGCCCATCTCATAATGATTTTGTTGTTTCTTCGGCTTGTTCTTGTTGGGCACCAATTTCTTGGGATTTTAGTCTCATTAGGAATCTTAACGATTGGGAAACTAGTGAATTGGCTTCTTTGTTTGTCCTTCTTGATGAAGTCACTTTGTCTCCAAATGGGCATGACAAGCATATTTGGCGTATTCACTCTTCAGCCATTTTTTCATGTAAGCTTTTCTTCAATAAAATCATTGATAAGCCCAGTGTTCCTTTTTTTCCCTATTCACAAAAGAATTTGGAAAGCGGTAGTGCCTCTTAAGGTAAGGCTTTTTATGTGGACTTAGGCATGTGGGAGAATCATGACCAACGACTCCTTCCAAAAGAGAAGGCTTACTAGTTATCTTTGTCCTCAACGGTGCATCATGTGTAGGAGGAGTGAGGAATCAATGGATGATTTATTTTTGCATTGTCAGGTGGCTTTGGATCTCTGGCATCATCTATTCCAGTTGATTGAAGCACAATGGGTGGAACCGGGATCTTGTCTCATGATCTCAACTCAATGGACTTTCAGGGCTTCACAGATTTGAAGAAAGCTAATATGGTATTGTGTTGTCTTCTCAATTTTCTACGTCATTTGGTTGGAGAGGCATGCAAGGGTCTTTGAGAACAAGTTTGGCGATCAGACATCTATGTGGGATAAAGTTTGTTGTCTGGGATTGTTTTGGGCGTCCATTTTAGCCCCATTTAAGAAGATCCCTTTCTTAAGTCTTAGTTTTTCATTGATTGAAAAATGATATAGCCAATTTAAGTCCTAGTTTTCATTGATTGATGTTTGATCTATGCTTGTAGAGGACAACTTGTAATTTCTTTGTATTTACTTTCTTTTTAATAAAATTCCTTTTGTTGCTGATCACAAAATTGGGGGAAATAAAGGAAGAGATAAAAGAGCAATAAACAAGAGCAGTACAAGAACCCACAGTATTTGAAGCAAGCCATAGATCCCAAAAGTAATGCTATTATGGTAGTGTATCAACACTTTAGCCTAATGAGTATAAATTTCAAAAATTTTAAATCAAGCAACAGATTCAACAAAACCTATGAGCACCCTTCAAAGGGTAGGCAATGCATACTTGTTCAATATGATTGAGTCATAGCAACTATTGCAATTGTACGTAGACAGGGATATGGAAAATATATCCACAAGATGGATGGAACAGGAAAAAAAGAATCACATCTTAGCCAAGACAGTAGGAATAAGTATCATGAAAAAGATGATAACTTATCAAGATGACGAGCAAGTCTTGAGACACAGTGTCTCCTCCATTGGTTCAGGCACATAGTAATAGGAAAAGGCCTTGTTAAGAAATGAAATTTATATGAACATCATCGCAGATATACAAGATAGTGAAAAGTTTCTGAAAATGTCCAATTTTAAAAGCTTAGCGGGAGAGTAATGCTATCTTACGCAGTTTCTGTGCAATTGAAGCAGCCTCAGCAACGCGGCTGTCGTCAGAGAACAAAGGTGAAAGTTCCATCAAGTCGCCTGGACTGCTATTAAATTCCATCAAGTACTGTAGTGCCAAAATAAAACCAAATGGTGTTACAGCATTGTAAGCGTAGAATACCTAAGCATCAAATGTGTGCTTGCACTACCTTTATGAGTTCTATTGTTTGGCTTGCAGTTTCTCGCTGGGAATCTGCACTCTGACAAAAAATAATCACATAAAAAATAGAATTACATATAATTCAACAAACATGGTGATTAAACAACTAGAGGGATCGTGAGCATTAACTAATAAAAACAGAATAACACTTTACCTGCAAATGATCTCCAATTTTGGCAGCAGTTTGTCCAACACTTGAAATGCGTGAATCCAATCTTGCAAAGCTATCAAACAAGCCATCTACACCTTTTTCCAGCTGAACATTGAGATATGCATGAGATGTGACAGAAATTATACATCTCAATATGGGTAAGAACCATAAAGCCATATTAGCAAAGACAAGGCATGATCAACATAATTATTATCATAAAACATGGCACATAAAACAATGGTCTTAAGCTCAATTAAACTTCCCATGTACTCCTAATTGAATGAAGATTGGAGAAAACTATAGAAATAGCAATTTATGTTCAGATACTTTACCCCCAAAATGGGTTTCATACAGTTATATATTTATAAAAGAGAAATAAATAACACACAAATGCACCCTAACCTCAGTGAGTGTCTTGCGATGCTTGGAATCTTGGACGACAACCTCCTTCTTAAGATTGTAGAGTCTTCCATCAATCTTTAACCAAACATACCAAATTAATTTTCAAAGTGACAGTCCCATGACATAATTTGGACGGAATTGCACTAAATGTACATACCTTCTGTCGAAGATCAATCAACTCTCTACAAGAATCCTGAAACAAAGACAATAGAGCATCAACTTCAGGAAACAGGGGGCTTGATAACCCTTGAGTGAACTTTCCCGCATCAGAAGGAATACGCGAGTGCCCATTTTGCAAAGCATCATTTGCACCAATATTACTATGCCCTTCTAATGAATCTGCTTCTTCTTCTTGGTAAGATGGAAGAAGCTCATTTACTAGGTTCCCGAATAATGCATCAAATGAAAAGTTCCCCTACACATAAAAAGAGTTCAATGTTCAATTAAATGTTAAAAAATGTAGGTAAATGGAAAGCTGAGCATGGTATTTACTCGGAGTGGTTAGTGACGTGCGTAAATCTCAAAAATCGCACACAATCATGGAATTGATAGATTTCAAGTCCTTACCTTAAAATCATCTTCATCTAGCACAAGCGGACCAGAATTAGCAGATGGAGATTTTGAAACCCGAACAGTCTTTACTCCATCTCTACTCTCTTTCATCTAAATCATGCGTAATAAATCAGACACGATACAATCAATTACCGTCAATACACGTACATTAATTATAACTTATCCGATTAAATCTCAGTCAGATTCTGTACGGAGTAACCAATATCATTCCAATCGATTGCCTAAAAAGGCATCGCCATCTTCTTTTCTTGTCTTTTTTTTAACCAGAACTACACAAAATGTTCTCTGTTCTTGAAATTGGAGCCGAACATGCAATTTTTTGTTAGGGTTCAACAATTAGCGCATTGCACATCCAATATACGCAACAATAATTCAATTTTCTATCTCGTTTCTCGATTTTTCTCAGGAGACATACGTACAAAAACGAGCAAAAATTATCAAACAATTTCTCCGAATGACGATACGAAAAATGAGTTCAAATCGTGAAATTCGAAATCGCGATCTTACATATGTATATAGATAGATATACGCAGATGGGTATATGCATGTATAAATCCATAAGAAATGTAATGAAAGAATCGAATTGTGACCTCTCCCAAGTGATCAAACGAGCAAACAGATGGAGAGTTAGCTGCAGAGAAACCGCCTCTTGCTGTTTCTTCTTCGTTCCTGTTTTCGTCGGATGGATCGAGCAAATTTGTAGAGAGAGAGAAAGAGAGACAGAGACACAGAGAGACACAGAGGACTGTTCCGCGAAGACTACAATGGAAATAAAGTGACCAGATTGACGGTTTTGTCCTTCGTAATGATCGCAAACAGCGTGAGTAAAAGTAGGAGCGTAAGGTCCGAGGTCCGCCAGCATTTTGGGGTACGCTTGGCCGATTTAGGCCCATTGTTTGGATCCGGGCTCAAGCCCAATTCGGAACCATAGACTATTATTTTGAAGCCCAGTCTAGTCTATGAGCTCGCTTAAGGCTCGGCTTGGCTGACATTCAATATTTTTTTTAATGAAAAATAATAAAATTTTAGTAGAAAAAATAAAAAAACAAAACAAAGAATTTGTTCAGGCTACTCAAGCTCGAGCCTAGGCCCAGGTCCACCGACCTGCACAAGGCCCAAATACCCCCTAGACCTGTATCTAATTCCCTGGACCATGGGCCGACCGACCCGACCCGAATTTTGCCAGGAGCCCGTGAGGGCCGACATGAGCCAGGTCATGCCAAACTTTATACCCCTACGTAAAAGTGACAAGATTGATGATTTTGAAAACTTTGTTATTTTAGTTGTTTTTTTTTTCTGGCAAATTTCACTTTATTCGTCTGTGATTTGGGCTGCATGCAGTTTACCCTGATGTTTGGAAATCACTACATAACCCTTGTGGTTACTAAATTAAATTGCACAGTTAGCATTTTCATCTAACACAACAGTCTGTGCATGACACGCACCAAACTTTATACCCCTACGTAAAAGTGACAAGATTGATGATTTTGAAAACTTTGTTATTTTAGTTGTTTTTTTTTTCTGGCAAATTTCACTTTATTCGTCTGTGATTTGGGCTACATGCAGTTTACCCTGATGTTTGGAAATCGCTACATAACCCTTGTGGTTACTAAATTAAATTGCACAGTTAGCATTTTCATCTAACACAACAGTCTGTGCATGACACGCACCTAATATGCAAATGGGCATGAAAAGATTATTTTCCTTCCGAATTAAATGACTAAATTGCCCTCATCTTCATTGCCAATTTCCAAAACTTATCCTCATCTTCATCATCAATATCCAGATTTGTGGATTACCCCAGATGGCTATCAAATGTAGATACAGCCCATCACTTAGGGCCCATCACTTAGGGCTCAGACAAAGAAGTTGCTACATTGGACCGACCCTCCAAACAGCCCAAGCAGTGGACAAGGCCTATCACCTTTACGGACGCCGACTGCACAGGCATCCGTTACCCCCATGACGACCCTCTCGTCATTTCGACCCTCCTCTCCAACTACAAGATCAAACGGGTTCTCGTCGACAACGGCAGTTCTTCAAACATCATCTTCCTAAATTGCTTCTGCCAACTCAAGATCGGAGAAGAAAGTCTATCCCCTCTCCAAACCTCATTAGTCAGTTTCACTGGAGATCGGGTGACCTCCATCGGCTCCATCGATCTTCCCATCACAATCGGGGAATACCCACGGCAGATCACACAGTTACTCACCTTCCTCGTCGTCAACTGTCTCTCTACTTACAACATCATCCTCGGCCGCACCGCCCTAAATGCTTTCCAAGCTATCACATCCACTTTCCATCTTGCAGTCAAGTTCCCCATCGACCTGGGAGTCGGCACAGAAAGAGGAGAGCAGACCGTGGCCAAGGAATGTTACGTCGCCTCACTTAAAGAGGTCAAGCTAAAGGAGGCTATGATCATTGAAGTAGGGATGGCAATGGATAACTTATCCTGTGGGTATCCATGGAGATCCAACCCAAATACATGGGTTTTCCCCTCTTTTTCTTATCCATTGGGTAGGTTAAGTGATATTCTTTAAATATCCATAGGGGATGGGTTGGGGATGGGTACCCACTAATTTCTCCATATGTATTTATTTATTTACTTTTTAAGATTCACAACCAAAACTAAATATATATTCAATCTTTTTTCTTTTGTTTTTATTTTTATTTTTTTTAAGGTTCACAACCAATTTTTTTT